TAAAAATAATTGACCCGCGATCAAAAAAGGTTGCCGACTGACCACTGGTCTAGATCAAAACCTGAATGACAAGATACCTTAGTTGTCAAGATTCCTTGAATGTTGCTGAAACCTAACATGTATCTGAATGAACTGAACAGTGCTTCCAAATCTTCTTTAAATCCTTCCTCATTCTGGTTGCCAGTTGCTCTATTGGAAAATTTACAATAATGTTCATCATCACAACATTTTAACATAAGCTGATAACTAAGCAAATGTTTCCAGAGTATAAAGGAATTTTTTTTTGTCAAATGTATACTTGTTCAATAGATAGTTCCAATCTTTTAGAGTTTTAAATAAAAACCAGAAAGTTAACAGTTTGTATCAGAACAAAGTAGTATTTTCAAAGCTACTATATTTTGGAAAAAAAGCTTTTCATAAGATATTAACAGGTGAAGTTTAAAAGCTATATCTTTGAGACGATGCTAACATTTCATGTAAAAATTCGGTGTGTTTAAAAACACACAAAAACTTGTACCTGATGATGACAAAACCTTGTCAAAACATTGTACATTTGCTGTTATGTTAAACTTATATTAAAGTTTTTCTTCATTACTCATTCAAGCCGTCTCCAGCCATTATTAGTCTCAAAGTGGGTTCCTCATCATCAAATTTTAATCCAAAATAATTTACTTGCTTTGATAAACATAAGTAGGACAAACAACATTTTCTGTCTTCAAGGTTTTGTAAGGTTTATAATGAAATGTCTAATTTACATCATTAAGAATACATATAAATGAGTAAGTTATTTGAGAAATTAATGGAGTATAATTCACTACATTATCAAATCATTTACTTTACAAAAAAAAGTAATAAATAGAAAGCTGAAAATACATTTTATACATTAAATAAACAGCCTCATCAAAAATGTACTTTTTATTAGCATTTGCCAAATAAATAAATAAATAAATATGAGCATACATATACATATAAGCAAAAGTGAAGAAAACATTTTCAAATATACCTTGCAAACAGCTTTCTAGACCGTACGATAAACTTGACGATATAGTCGAAGGATCAAAAACATTTTTATATATACCTTGCAAACAGCTTTCTAGACCGTATGATAAACTTAACAATATAGTCGAAGGATCAAAAACATTTTCAAATATACCTTGTAAACACCTTTCTAGATCATATGATAAACTTGACGATATAGTCGAAGAATCAAAAACATTTTCAAATATACCTTGTAAAGAGTTTTCTAAACTGTATGATAAACTTGACGATATAGTCGAAGGATCGAAAACATTTTCAAATATACCTTGCAAACAGCTTTCTAGACTGTATGATAAACTTGACGATATAGTCGAAGGATCGAAAACATTTTTGAATAGCCTCTTGCTTTTCACTATCTCGTACCAGTTCTGCCGAATTCTTCACACATGTTAACAATCCTTTATAAACAAGAGCAGCTGCAAAATGGTCCGTGATGTAAGCATGAATGACTGGTTTGAAGTGTTGAAACTTACTATCTTCTAGAAGACTAAGTATGTGAACCTAGAAAATATAATGTTATCAAAATTTCAAGTAACACAAAAGTTAGAAAAAACAGCCACTATTAAAACATTTCAACACCTTTCCATAGCTAACTACACTGAAAATATGCAACTAGCCTGAATAAAAGAAATAACCTTACATCAATATAAATGCTTTTCCTAAATGTTTAATTCGAAATACCATAAAAATTTTAAAATGCTAAGCCTAACTTACTTCACCATATTAGCAAAATTTAATTTCAGAAGTTCCAACCAGTAAATAAATAGAAAAAGAGACATCCTTTGCCATACTTTAGCATGCAATTTGTTGTTACCTTGTCACAAGAGGGCAATAGTTACATCTGTCAAATTATAATTTATTTTTTGTTTATAAAAGCAACAGTAATGTTCTTTAATAAAACCTATAGCAAAAATTCTTTTAAAAAATGCTTCAAAACAACGGCTATTCTTCATGTGTTTAATACATGATATAGCCAGTCCACTGTTCTTCACGTGTTTAATACTTCATACAACCAGTCAGCTATTCTTCACGTGTTTAATACTTCATACAACCAGTCAGCTATTCTTCACGTGTTTAATACTTCATACAGCCAGTCAGCTATTCTTCACGTGTTTAATACTTGATATAGTCAGTCAACTATTTTTCACATGTTTAATACTTGATATAGTCAGTCGGCTATTCTTCATGTGTTTAATACGTGATAGAGTCAGTCAGCTATTTTTCAATATGGCTTACAAAACCATGACATTCTTTCTACAGTCAAAAACTTCCAACTGACTATATCACGTATTAAACACGTGAAGAATAGTGGACTGACTATATCACGTATTAAACACGTGAAGAATAGCGGACTGACTATATCACGTATTAAACACGTGAAGAATAGCGGACTGACTATATCACGTATTAAACACATGAAGAATAGTGGACTGACTATATCACGTATTAAACACGTGAAGAATAGCGGACTGACTATATCACGTATTAAACACGTGAAGAATAGCGGACTGACTATATCACGTATTAAACACGTGAAGAATAGTTGACTGACTATATCAAGTATTAAACATGTGAAAAATAGCGGACTGACTATATCACGTATTAAACATGTGAAGAATAGTTGACTGACTATATCAAGTATTAAACATGTGAAAAATAGCCGACTGACTATATCAAGTATTAAACATGTGAAGAATAGTTGACTGACTATATCAAGTATTAAACATGTGAAAAATAGCCGACTGACTATATCAA